TGGAAACACTTGTGGTCTATACCCGACAACTTTAACCTCGAGGAACCATGGGTAGAGGAATAAAATGATTCTGTACACGAAATATTAAGATCACCATTGTTGTGTTTCATTACACCTGATTGCCTGAAAAATGTAATTAAAAGGTCCTAATCTAATTCTAATACGGCACCAGGGCCTGATGGTATTCGAAACCGGGTTTGGAAAGCGAGCGTTCCCTTGTGCCCAAACACCATTACTTCATTGTTTTAATTCTCTTGTGGATACAGGGAATGTTCCGCCTTGGTAATGCAAAGGTCGAACAATACTTCTCCCAAAGAAAGGTGATTTGACAGATCCAAAAAACTTCCGCCATATTACTTGTCTGCATACACAATACAAAATATTTACAGGGTGTCTTACAGATCTTGCGTCATCAAATTGTCCTTCCAATGATATTATTTACATAGAGAGGAAAGGAGCCAGAAAGGGATGTTGGAGTTGTAAGGACCAACTTCTAGTTCAGAAAATGATCCTTCAAGAGGCTAAAACTAACCACCGCAACCTTTCAATGACGGAAAAACTTATGATTATGTACCCCACGAATGGATTTTGAGGTCACTGGAATGTATTGACCTCCCCGAGCGACAACTTGTTTTACTCAAGTCTTTATTGAATTGCTGGTCAACTCAACTTGAGATGTATTTACAGGGGAAGGTGATGACTTCGGAACCCATTTCTACTAGAAGAGGAATATTTCAGGGCGATTATTTCAGCCCTTTGCTTTTCTGTTTGTCACTAAATCCTTTAAGCTTTTTGCTCAACAAATAGGAAGGGTATCATACGTGACCTCCTTAACAAAGATCCCCACAATACCCCTTACTCACCTCCTTTACATGGATGACCTTGAACTTATCGCCAATGGAGGATCCACACTCAAAAAACAGATTCTACGAGTCCTTTTCTAATGACACCGGCATGTCTTTTGGACTCGACAAATGCAACATTCTTTATCTGAAACGTGGCAAGGTAGAAGAGGGAGGATCAGTCAGTTCACTTCGAGGAGGAATTATTGACCATCTCGTGGAACGTCAGGCCTATACGTACTTATGGATGCAGGTTAGAGACAAACTCTAATGTACAAATGTAGATTCAAGAAAATTGAGTTCAGAGCTTAACGCTCGCAATAAAGTTAAAGCCACAAATACTTATGCTGTACCCGTCCTTTCGTATTCTTTTGGTGGTGTTGATTGGACGAAACAAGAAATTCTCGATAATGACACCCTCACACGAAGAATCATGTCGGACAATAGATCCCACCACACTCGCTCTTCCCTCAATCGCTTATGTTTACCAATTATAATGAGAGGACGTGGTTTGATTAACGTAGAGGCTCTTCATGGTAGAATTGTATTGCGCACATTTGCACACATTTATTTGTCTGATGATCCTCAGAAGTATGTCAAGACTCATGATGAAAACAAGGCATTTCACTGAGCCAAGTATGTGGGACATTATCTCAATGTCAGTGTTGATTTTGTTGATGGTTCTGTACTGCTGGACGGTACAGAAATGAGTGTCAACCAAGCGAAGTGCCATATCTAATCGGCCCAGATTCAGTTTTTCAAGGAGAGGCCATCTGAACGATCACTGCATCGAGTTTATGAGCAGTGTTGAGAAGATCAGCAACCCTGCAGAGTCCTTCGCTTGGATGACGTCGGCTGGCCCGAAAAGTGAAATAGAAGGCTTTCTGTTTGCTTAAGACCAGTCACTTCCCACTCGAAACCGTCAATGTGTGATTTAGCATCAAAATGTGAACTTGAAATGTAGAATATGCAATGAATTTAATGAGACTGTCCAACACATTGTCAAAGGCTGCCCCGCTTTGCCACAAAGACAGTAACTTAAGCGCCATGATTGCGTGGCTCGGTCATTCTATTACCGTCTTCGCCATGCTTGTGGTTTTGACACAGAGGTCCATCCATGATACGACCGCCTCCGTGGTCTTGTGGTAGAGCGTCCGCCCGGAGAGCGGAAGGTCCAGGGTTCGATCCCGGGCCGCGTCATACAAAAAGACGTTAAAAGATTGTACTTGTTGTTACCCTGTCTGGCGCTCGGCATTAAGGGGCTAAAACAAGGACTGGTCGGCTCGGAGTCAGTATACTGTGTCTGAGTGGGGTATTCAGGTTAAACTGCGGCATGGTATCTCAGTGAGCTAGCACTATAAATCGGCATCAGTCCGGACTAGTACAAGCAGCCACACACACACATACACGTGCATGCACGTCGCTATATAAGTGCAATAATCTTGGACGCGACGTTAAACCCAATTTCACCTCACCTCACCATCCATGATAAGACCCAGAATATGTAAAAGGCGTCATGAAAAATGATAAATACAAAATTCTTTGGAATAGGCCCGTATACAGCTTTAGCCCTATCCAGGTCAACAAACCTGATCTTGTCCTTTTTTATAAATAATAATAATAAGACATGTGAAACTATAATCATCAAACATCCTCACTCACTCACTAACTAAAGTATTTCCGAGGAACAAAACGCTGAAACAATCAGGTTGTTAATGTTACAGTATAAATCGGTCAGTGATTAAGGTCAATCAATATCCTATACAACCTATGAAGTTACAGTCTCTAAACTTTCAAAAGCCGTACTCTGGCACTTGGCGACCGTATATCTAAAAATTCAGGGACCGCCTCCGTGGTCTTGTGGTAGAGCGTCCGCCCGGAGAGCGGAAGGTCCAGAGTTCGATCCAGGGCCGCGTCATACAAAAAGACGTTAAAAGATGGTACTTGTTGTTACCCTGTCTGGCGCTCGGCATTAAGGGGCTAAAACACGGACTGGTCGGCTCGGAGTCAGTATACTGTGTCTGAGTGGGGTATTCATGTTAAACTGCGGCATGGTATCTCAGTGAGCTAGCACTATAAATCGGCATCAGTCCGGACTAGTACAAGCAGCCACACACACACATACACGTGCATGCACGTCGCTATATAAGTGCAATAATCTTGGACGCGACGTTAAACTCAATTTCACCTCACCTCACCTAAAAATTCAGGCGACGTTGTAGCCTAACTAACGCTAATTTCTCTTGGGATGTCGTTATCGCCATGAGTTGCGTGTTGGCTATATCTATTGTCAACATACAACAGACTTCAGAAAGAAGATTAATTTATTCCTTGGTAACTGTATTGGTTTTTCTGAAAGGTTGTCTTATTTTGCACTGTCGCTACGTGTTGAATCAGCAGTGTTAAGTGGTAATATTGATTTAAATTTTTGTCATGAATATTCTTCCTCGATTCGGTCATATCCTAATTTAGAATCGAAATGCGTTGTCACCTTTGAATAGTGTTTAAACATACACCTCCAGCCAAAAGAAAGTCTACACTTGAAAATTGGATTGACCAATACACTACAAAGGTTATCAAAACGTTACTAAACAACTGAAAACTTAAGGTCCAAAACATAACTATGATATATGTATCAAATACATCACCATAGAATAACCATTTCTTGTTTGTTTCATTTTAGCCACAATCAAGCATGGGTGTATACATCTTTTGCCCGGCAGATTAGACATTTTCAAAAATAATGGATTAGAAAACACGCACAATAAGGTTATATTTATATATTTATACTTCCATGAACGCAAAACATATCGAAGTCAATTCTTATCATGATAGGGGGTACGGGTGGCCCAGTCGCCTAAGGCGCCGCGATTCGCTGTGCAGAGTGGCGTCCCTTGTGCACGCCAGAAACCGATGATTGTGGGTTCGAGTCCCGGTTCGCCCCGATTATGTTTCTAGGTTTGTCAGCACCATACCCGTGCTCGTCGGTTTCACCGAAGTGGTAAACGTCTAAGACCTGAGTCACTTCGGGCTTTCCTCCCACATTAGAACTGCAATACAATAATTAATTACTGTTAAAAGCGGCGTTAAACCCAACTCACTCAGTCTTAACATGATAGAAGTAACGTATACAGTTAACACGAGTATGACTCTCGAGATGAGAAGATAACGGAGCTGCAGTTAACACAGAGCAATTTGGCTGGGTGTTGACAACATGTGGTCATGTGTGTTTCTTGTTTAACGCCGCATTCAGCAATACCCCAGTCTTGTACAAAATCAACTGGACCAGACAATCCACCTTTTATATTGTGACCGACGACATACACCGTCTGGCCATGGGGTATGTGGACACGTTAAGGCATCAACCGAACCTGACCCCCAGCTCCCTTAATCGCCTCTTACGACCAGCGTGGAATACAAGGGTCCAATCAACCAGATTCCCCACATGTTCGCAATTGAGTCGCAATGGGTTTATAGGAATACCTTCAGCGATACAGTGTACGATTCCGACTAAGTCATAAACATGTGTGTAATATATATTTATGTCCAGTGTTCTTTGATTCTAATGTCTCCAATATAAGAGTACTATACACGCATCCTCTTTGGTTCGTAAAAAAAGTTGGTTATGGGCTGATGATAACGATGTATTTCCTTTATCTCACAATGATATGAGCTTAAAGTCATTAATACAAAACAGACCGCCTCCGTGGTCTAGTGGTAGAGCGTCCGCCCGGAGAGCGGAAGGTCCGGGGTTCCAAAAGACGTTAAAAGATGGGACTTGTTGTTACCCTGTCTGGCGTTCGGCATTAATGAGCTAAAACAAGGACTGGTCGGCTCGGAGTCAGTATACTGTGTCTGAGTGGGGTATTCATGTTAAACTGCGGCGTGGTATCTCAGTGGGCTAGCACTATAAATCGGCATCAGTCTGGACTAGTGCAAGCAGCCCCACACCCACACATACACGTGCATGCACGTCGCTATATAAGTGCAATAATCTTGGACGCGACGTTAAACCCCATTTCACCTCACCTAATACAAAACACTTGGGGAATTATATTAACATTACCGTGTTGTTTCCCCTTAGTTACACATCTACCAGCAGTGGGTCAGAACTGTTACGATGTGTTGAGGTATTGGCTGAGCCCGTTGATCGATTGTATTGATTTATCCCTGGCACTGCAGGGATCGTGTGAGTCTGTGCCAGGACGTACACGCTCTTACTGAGACATTTTCCATCTTTCAGATAGCATGGTTCTTCTGATCGGATTACTTTGGTTGCTGAGTTTGAGTGGAGGTAAGACTTTCCACACTTTACTATCATTTAACCTACGTGGAAACTCGGGTTGGAATATGTCCAAGCTTGATATTAATGCTGATAGGAGACAAAGTTTGGTCGAGTAGTCAGGCCTTGTGACTTGCAGATCGTTGACACTGTACACCGACAGAGTAATGTATTACCCATTCTCTCGGTCACTGGATTGTTCGGTCCAAACTCGTCTACATGCCGCCAAGATATAACTGGAATGTTGCTGGCGGCTGCAAAAACAAAAAAACGTAAATTAATTTCAACTGTTAAGTAAATCAAAGAAAAGCGCGTTTACATTTCATATATAACTTAAATATTTTGAAATATATTATTGAAATAATTAAAAATTTAGAAATATATTATTCTGATAACTTAATTATTTAGAGTCCCATTCCAGCCAAAATATAACATGGAAAAGAAGCGAGGCTTTATTAGTGTTAAAGTTATATAGTTTATATTGTGGATCCCCCATGGGGATTCCCCATTAAAATAGTCTCTTAGCAACCTAGGGGATTCGCTGTGCTGAGTTGCTTCCCTTGGGCACGCCAGAAACCGAACTGAGGGTTCGAATCCCGGTTCACCCAATTATGTTTCTAGGCTTGTCAGCACCATACCCGTGCTCGTGGGTTTCACCGAAGTGGTAATAAGTGGCCCCGTCATACCAAAGACGTTAAAAATTGGTGCTTGTTGTTTCCGTGCCTGGCGCTTGGTATTAAGGGGCTAAAACAAGGACTGGTCGGCTCGGAGTCAGTATACGGTGTCTGGGTGGGGTATTTATGTTAAACTGCGGCATGGCATCTCAGTAGGCTAGCACTATCAGTCCGGACTAGTACAAGCAGCCACATACACACGTGCACGCACGCAATTATATAATCTTGGACGCGACGTTAAACCCCATTTCACCTCACCTCACCTCACCTCACCTCACCTCACCTCACCTCACCTCACCTCACCTCAGATACTTCAGATATCTTCAGAGCCTTACAAGTGCGCACGGCATTGTGCACTTTCTGCTGACAACGTTAAAATAGTTTATATATAACGTCAACGTTAGAGAGAACCCGTCTCGGTTTACCCACGAAACAGTTTCCATTGGACGTAAAGGCCAAATAGCAGCGAAACGTATATTAATGGATCACTGAAAATCAGTGATGATACCAGGTGTCTGCGAAAAGGGTAAGCATGTCCTGCCTACCGTTTTTACCCGCCACCACACTAATGGCATAAGAAGGTAAGTGTTGGTCACCCGACAGCGCAAAGCAGTATTCATGTATTCATGTAAGCAAACCTGCATCACTTCGGGCTTTCCTCCCACATTAAGCTGACACGCCGTGATATAACTTGAATACTGTTAAAAGCGACGTTAAACCCCAGCTCTCTCATTCACTCACAATACCTGGCAGTAGCGCACAAAGGACGAGCAATAAGCATGGACAGATATGTTACATTTTACTGTTTACTATTTTTTTCTATAATACACTAAAACGAACCTAGGGTTATTCACGACGTCTCAGATTGATTTTTGGTGTTTTCATAAATCACAGATACCCATGATTAATTACTAATTTTTGTATTTTTATTTTCCGATTTTTTAAAAGTCGTGATATACACGATTTAACAATGGTGATTACATAGAAAAGACGTTATTTACGATGTGCTTCACTTCACAGGAATTTCACAACAAAAGATATCACCGAACAGATATCTTCCCTCGTAATACAAAAAAGTGAAGCGTATGTTTGTGTTTGATGTATACTGGCCAAAAAAAGAAACGCATAGCAGAAATCTGTTTTTCAAACTTGACTGTTATTAAAGATGAAGGCTTGAACTCAATATAAATGTCATCGCTAACTGTGAATATTGACCTTACATGTGCATGTGTGAGGCAGAAAAAAACGTCACTTCTTTGGTGTGTTTTAGTAGGTAATCTGGTTTTAAGTTGCCAAGTTAAACTTTAAGTCGGTGTGACCTGTGCATGTCGCTTTTTTGAATGTCAAGGTCATGGGTGTCTGTCATAGATGAACTTGTTCGTTGATGTGATTTAGCTCCACTGCAAATCACTTGCCATGTGTCGTAACTGTCGTTTATTATTATGTGCAATATATTTATTATTGTAACCATGTAAGTTATGCCATGTACACATTTCTTTTTAGCTAATTCAACACAAACTGTGCAACAGATGGGACCAAAATTCACATCTTTAATTTTTTGGTTAATTTGTTTTTAAACGTTATTATTTCAGTTTAGAGTGATTAGAAAAGTGCTATTTATCATCTAAAAATTCTTTTTTCCTGTTGGTATTCAAGTTTCAGTGTCTTCTGGAATTTGAAGTTTTATGTAATGCAAATATGTCAAGTGTTTTTCATTTGCTCCTGTTCGAGTAATTTCCAGTTGATGCATGTTTACGATTGATCTGGACAGTTCATCTGGAGCATGATAAGGAATGTGATAATGATTCAAGTGGATGTGACAGTTGGGCTGGCTGTTGGCGAGATAAAAATATGTTTTAACATAGCAGATGGTGTTTCTGATTTGACAAGGCCTACATTCAGATTCACAGTTTGGTGTGAGTGTGGTCTCTGTGGGTTTCTTATGTAAAGTTATCCATGAAAATCCGGGTTAAAATAGGTCTTCGGCAACCCATGCTTGTTTTAAAAGGTGACTATGCTTGTCGTAAGAGGCGACTAACAGGTCGGGTGGTCAGGCTCACTGACTTGGTTGATGCATGTCATCCAATTGCATGAATCTTGCTCATGATGTCAATCACTGAACTGTCTGGTCCAGACTTGATTATTTACAGACCACCATCATATTGCTTGAATATTGCTGAGTGCAGCGTCAAACAAAGAAAGAAACAAACAAACAATCATGTTAAGTATGGAGGCATGGGTAGCCCACTTGTCGACACAATTCACTGTGCAGAGTTGCGTCCCTAGGACGTGCCAGACACCTATGATTGTAGGTTTGAATCCCGGTTTGCCCCAACTATGTTTCTAGGTTTGTCAGCACCATACCCGTGCTTGTTGGTTTCACCAATGTGGTAAATGTCTGAGACCTGCGTCACTTCGGGCTTTCCTCCCACATTAAGCTGACACGCCACGATATAACTGTAATACTGTTAAAAGTGGCGTTACAACCAAGTCGTTCACTCGCTCATGATAAGTAACGTTTAACTTCATATGGTTTCATAACATTAATTTATAACTCTTCTGTAAGACAAATTGTTTTACCCAGAACAAATATTAAAGGCATTGTTAAGAGAAATATGTTTTATTACCACTTTATTTCACTATTTTTCAGCTGTAAATTAGCATTTGTAAACATTTTTATTTCCACAGTATTAACGAGTCAAAATGTCATTTTTTTTAAAGTCTGAATATGAAACAGAACAAATTTAATATCTATTGATTCGGTAGGTTCAAAGAGTACATAGCACTCGACAATAGTTAAGTATGGATATTTGATGGCATATGATTGAGCAACAATGGCATGTACAAAGACTCCACTAATCACACTGTTGATAGCTGCCAGGTAACTAGTATAAACACTGAAATGGATATTACTTATATATTTAAAGTAGCTTCTCTCTAGTACAAGGACTTACTATCAAACTTTATTAGATCTCTTCATGTGTACTTACAAAGCTCTCTCAGTTGAACAATACGGCGCAAGTAAACAGTCGCTGTCAAATATATTTTCTCTGTTCTTGAAAGCAAGTTAAAAATCGGTGTTGTAAATAAAAAAGAAATATCAAATAGTTCGGTGATAATAAATCAGTGTTATCAATGTTAAGGTTTAATGGGGTAAATCAGTAAGATTAGGCATCTTTAAATGTGACATGAGTGAATGAGTGCATTAATGTGGTTAAACAATGTTGTTAACAGAATTCCAGCTATTACACTGCGACCTGTATTTATCATCCCAAACTGGCTTCTACAGGAGATATCCTTGGGTGAAATGAAGCAATATCTCCCATAAACTTGCATCACAATGCTTTGCAGACCATTTCTGAAGTCATAGGTTACCATGACATCACAATCAAATGACATCACTAATGTCTCTGCCACTGAAGCTGGTTAGCTGTGCTTTTCACACTCAAGACAATCGTGATTACTGTTTTCAAACTGAAAAAGTTTGAAGAATGATTTTAGATAATAAATAGAATCACACCTTGGAGTTTAAAACTTGTGTAATGTTGTGTTGATTTATTTGCTGTCAAAAGACACTTGGGTGAGATTGTCTTCATGATTGAATCTGGACCAGGCAAACCAGTGACTGAAAGTATGAGCACTGCTCCACACCATCATGATGACACTCAATCAGTCAGGTCACAGAGCCTGATCACCCAATCCCAATGCTATAGTCTCCTCTCACCACCAGCATATGGTACTGTAGAAATATATAATCCAACAGGTGAACTGTTAAATGATTTGTTTGATGTTTATAATTTCTACAAATTTAATGTCTCTCTTACATCAGAACCAGAAATCCTGTTTTTCAGCTGGCATCACTCTATAAAACATCTTCAGACTTTCAACAGAAGTCCTCTTCACTGTCAGCTATCCATAACCAGTTATGCATGTAATAGTATTGCACCCCGAACCCAATATTTGGTGACTTGTCGCCAAAATACAGCATCTTGAAACCATACTGGGAGAAATTGCATGGAGAAAAACCTGTAAGCATGCTGCACGTGCAAAAACGGCTACTTAACCTTTATACCGATGGGTATAAAAATTTGGCAGCCCTGCTGAGAATCACCCTCCGATGTTCTGTATACGTGACTCTCATGATGCCAAGACTGAAGACTGTAGAAACAGAGCCATTGGACGTCTGGAAGCTGGAGAAAGTCAGACATCAGTAGCCAGGCACTTTAACGTGAGGCAGAGTACCATTTATCGTCTGTGGCAGCGCTACAGACTCCACAACTCTACAAGAGATCGACCGAGAAGTGGAAGACCCAGGGTCACAACTGCGGCGCAGGACCGCTTCATCCGGGTGTTGCATCTTCGCAACCGGACAATCAGTGCCGCATACACAGCTAACAATGTTCCTGGTCTTCGTAGAGTCGTAGCGCAAACCATCAGAAATCGTCTAAGACAGCATGGGATACGGCCAATGAGACCATATACAGCGCCCGTTCTGCGGCAACATCCTCGTCGTGCACGTCTACAATGGAGCAGAAATGTTCGACCATGGACCCTAGTGCACTGGAGAAGGATATCGTTCAGTGATGAGTCGCGGTTCATGCTGTATCGCCATGATGGTAGGATGCTTGTCTACAGACGGAGAAATGAACGCTACACTCGACACTGTATTCATGAAGTCGACCGATAGGGCGGTGGAAGTGTCATGATGTGGGCAGGCATATCCGTAAATGGTAGGAAAGATCCGGTGCACGTGCAGGGAAGCCTTATGGTTTAAGCGTTCGCTCGTCACGCCGAAGACCCGGGTTCGAGTCCCGACATGGGTACAATGTGTGAGGCCCATTTCTGGTGATATTGCTGGAATATTGCTAAAAGCGGCGTAAAACCATACTCACAGTCTCAGTCACTCACTCTCAAAGAGGATTCTTATTTTGATATCCAACTCTTAGATTTAACAATTAAATTCATCTGGGAATATTTGAAATCATTCAGAGTATGACACAGGCGATATGGTTCTAAATACATTTCATATGTTCCTCGCGGTAGATATAAACGGAATTCAAATATTCCTTAAATAATACGACATAATATGAATAATATTTTGTAATACATTTAGTTACCACAACAATGTACTATTTAAGAAGTTATGAAGACGTACAGGCCAGCGCGTCAAACCGTGCAAGAAACAAGCGTGCCTGCACATTGATTTCATATTTATTTAACGATTGAATTAGGTAGCGATATGCATGTAGATATTTGGAGTTGCGTGTTGAAAGGCATGAAATGTTTGTCTCATCGATAAGACTAGTAATAGACACCGACTTTCCTTTGATTAAACAACGTGTATATGTACCTAAGAATTCAAGTACATTTTGTTTTCAAAGTGTGTTTATTTCTCGGTATTTACAACTGAATTCAATATCGTCTTACAAATCTAAAATGTATATTGAGTTCAGTATGAAAGTTTAGCATTGCATGTCATTTGCATTAATGGTACAGTGCATATTGACAGGTACATCAGTCATGGGTGTGCCGTGTTCTCTCTGTTCGATCTTTTGTTATGTGATCCGGCTGTGCATGTGATTAACGTAAAATATTTACTTAAACTCCTTAACCTCGGTGTTAATATCTACCAAGGACTGACGTATCATGTTTTTGCAGAGTGAAATTATATCTGGATTTGATGACACGTCTGGTAATGGGAGAATATTCCAATGGATTTAAACATATTTTCTTCAGTATATTCATAATCATTCATATAAATTCATTCTTAGTTAGGGGCGGTCGGGTAGCCTAGTGGTTAAAGCGTTCGCTCGTCACGCCGAAGACCCGGGTTCGATTCCCGACATGGGTACAATGTGTGAAGCCCATTTCTGGTGTCCCCCGCCGTGATATTGCTGGAATATTGCTAAAATCGGCGTAAAACCATACTCACTCACTCACTCATTCTTAGTTATACTTATATATACTCCTCAGAAAAAGTTAAGCAACAAATCTATTATGTGTCAGTCCATGTTCATATATTCCAATACCTAAAAACTGACTAAAGCAATACAAAGAAAGAGCACAAACACACATTGTCCTCAAAGGGACCTGAAAAGCGTTTATGCCTAACAGGTTTACAAATGATCAAAAACAGTATCATGAAAACAGTTGTGCAAATGTGCTGCACTGAAAGATGAAAATCTTTAAATTTGAGTTGAAGTCATTTAAGAAACAATGATCCAATGTTCAGTAACGTGTATGTCACCATTAGCTTGAATGCAAGTTTCTACACGTCTTGGCAATGACCAGATAAGCCTATCAAGTGTCTGTTGTGGAATGTTTTGCCATTCTCTCCTTAAGGCCTGTTAAAGTTGATCCAGATTCTGAGGACGAACATGAAGACCAGAAACACGCCTTCCAAGAATGTCCCATGCATGTTCAATGGGATTAAGATCCGGAGACCTTGCAGGCCAGTCCATATGCGTGATGTTGTTGGTCTGAAGAAGATCAGTGACAACTCTTGCTCGATGTGGACGAGCATTATCATCCATAAAGATGAAGGTAGGACCTGCTTGTTGTGCCAGGGGAATGATCACAGGTGTGACAGGTCGTCCCTGTACCGTACTCCAGTCATGGTACCACGTCTGATGACCACAAGATCAGTTCTGTGTCCAACCCTGATGCCAGCCCAGATCATCAAACATCCACCTCCGTACTGGTCGTGTTCAGCAATTGTACAGTTGGCGTATCGTTCATTACGGTTTCTCCACACACGTGCCCTACCATCGTTGAAGTCAAGGCAGAATCTTGACTCGTCTGTGAAGAGAACGTTACGCCAGCGATTGACCCTCCAGTTACGGCGTTGATTGGCCCAAGCAAGTCTCTGTTGTCGATGGTGTGCAGGCAGTGGGATACGTCGTACTGGTCGTCTGGACCTCAGATCCTGAGCGTGAAGTCTGTTTCTTACTGTCTGTGTTGAGACTCTGTTTCCTGCAACTCTCTGAAGGTCATTCTGGAGAGATCTGGCCATGGTAAACCTGTTTCTCCGGGCTAGGGTGGCTAAATACCGGTCCTCGCGAGGAGTTGTCACCCTTGGACGACCTGTGCGTGGTCTCTCTGTCATGAGTCCAGTTTGATGGTATCGAGTTATCGCTCTTGAGATGACACTGCGGTGAACATTAAAATGATTGGCAACAGCAGTTTGGGTGAGACCCCCCTGTACCATTCCAACAATCTGAGCAACCTCAGTTGGCGTTAAATATAAGTGACACCTAGCCATGTCTAAAGTGTCAATGTCGACAAATTGCCCTTGCTGGCAGTTTTCTGCAATCAGGGTGCATGGTGAAGTGTGTAAAACATGCATGTCGTGCATTTTGCATGTGTGTTTTGAGGGTGGTTGTGTTCAGGCGATGGTATCAGTGTTATCAGGAAAATCTACATGGAAAAGGCTTTAAGTCGAGTATTCGTAGGTAATTCTCCTGCCTGAATTTGTTCTCAGTTGATGGCATTCAACACTGATGAGAATGTTGCACGGAAAATAATACTTGTTGCTTAACATTTTGTGAGGAGTATAGTATACATAGTTATATGTTCCTAACCCTTTTTCCGATAATGTTTTATATAAAACGTCTATTTGTGCGAAAATGAATGAATTAAATAATACAATGGGTGTGTATATTGGGATTAAAGTCGCTTCGAACAATATTACAGTTATGTCGCGGATTGTCAGCTTAATGTGGAATGACCTTCAGGGGTTCATTCATATGGTATTCATTTTTTTCCTTTTATCTCAAATGGAATTTGCTTCTTCGGCTTATCGAGTTTTTCTCTGGCGTTGACGTTTTACGAGTATTGATTTAGTATGGATGCTAAAGCGTTGAAAATGCAGTTATTGAAATTATCAGACCAAAGATGATTATTTGTTCTTCTAAATGTTTGTTTTACTGGTTAAAATTATGCGAATGGGTGAATGTTATAATTCGCAGCTATTATCAATATTCCAGTCATATCTCTAAATAAGCTCTAAATAAGCTCTAAATAATCGAACCTTGATCACGAAAACCAACAGGAACAACGGTGGTGGGATACCATTGCATGAGCAACGATCGACGCCGACCGGGTACGATGACACACAAATCAGCCAGCCTACACATTGTGACCAGCCAATCCTCATTAGTCGGCTTTAGGAATGTAAGCTTAAAATGTCACTGTAAATCATTGTTGTTGATAGATAATAATACTTCTTCACATTTTATATGTTTTAGTGACTGATAGCCAGAGACAGCTGACGACGATAAAGCTATTCAAAGCAAAGCGGACATGGAATGATGCGCTCAAATTCTGTTCCGCCAGGTCCATGAACCTCTTGGAGGTCAGGACCAAGGCCAAGGCCGACGTTCTCGATTGGATTGACGCCGAAACTGGGATATGGTACAACAAATTGTAAGTAAATGGTTATTATCTGTTTTGTTTAGTCTTATATCAAGTCATGCGATCATTGCTGGTGTAGACTTGGATCGAGCGTGATTCACAGTTGTCCTTATGGTCCATCCTCAATAGTACAGTGTTGATATATCCATTACATTATGATAAAACCCTAAAAACAATAGTCACATAAACTTCGTTTCAGACGTTACATCACCATTTGTCGCTTTGCACAAATTTTAAGTGTAGACTGTTTTGTGTCTTGTCATTCGAATCGGCGAAGATATGGTAGAGAATCGCATGGGTCTAGTGTGATTACTAGGATCATAATTGAATGGCGACATACTACCCTGGATAATCGAGGATGCTCAGGACTATAATAATGATTAATATAGTGTTACAATGTTAAGCTTTACTTGCATTAAGACCTAAGACATCCGTCATTCTGGTTGGGAATAATGCTGGTAATCTGATCTGCATGGGCTTGTTGCCGGGTATAAAGCTCTGAACTAATTCTTAATATATAGTCACATGTTCTTCAGACATTAATTCGGATATGCAATAAACGAAATAACACTTTCCTGAAAGTCCACTGTACGAGTTCGAGAATATTATCCTAAACATGCGTTAATGAATCACTTTGAAATAGTAGATGATACGAGGTGTTAGCGAAAAGGTGAGTGTATCCTGCTCCACCCGTTTTACCGACACAAACGCATGCAAGGACAAGTCAAGTATTCACCTGAAAAAAAAATACGGGAACATTTGGTACGCGTAAACATAGTTCATTGAATCGAATATTCTTCTTGGCACCAACGCGTCAAATTTGGAAATGTCCTCCACATGTCTACCATAACACATTTCGAATGACACTCTTATATACTCTTATAAAGGTAGGGGACACTCGGACAAAAACTTAAATTTTCCAAAATTGAAAAAGATATTAGTTTCTAGTAATAGTTGTATGATAATAATGAACGAATTGGGAACACTTTACAACTGGTAGTGAAGTACAAATGTACGACAGTACATTATGATCGCCAAATGTTATGTTATGACCGCCAACGATCTTGAAGGACGATAGGGGTAAGGTGGGAAAATTATAAGTTGACGTTTATGAATCGGTAGTGCGTAATACTGCCACGATTTGTCAAACATTCATTCACTAGACAAGACGAGACGAGACTAGACTGCGTATGAGTCTGCCAATGGCGCTATGAGGGAGTCGGGCCCACTCATCTTGCAGCGTCTTGCCAAGTTCGGCCAGCGTGGTCGGCGGCCAATGACGTTGACTCAAACGTCACCCTATCATGTCCCAGGCGTGTTTAATTGAGGAAGGGCCTGGGCTCGGTGCTGGCTCTGGCATTCAATGGTTGTTGTGCTGCTGGAGGTGAGCAGTCTCGACGTTGTGTACACCACTGACATTTGTTGGCAATATGACGGGAACTACTAGTATCTCAAAAGCTGAGTGGCTTATTCATTTTATGAAAGGTATTTTTACGAATGATATCGTTTTCAACACTGACAGTGATGTGTTTGACGATGTTCTTGATGCTTCCTCTGCTTGTTACACTGATGTTGACAAACTTATTTGAGAAACACCTCTATCACAGAATGCAATTCTGGACGCTATACTGCACCGAAAACGTAGGAAGGCTGCTGGTCCTGACCATATTTTTTGTTGAAATGATAAAATGTTCCAAATTTTAGATGATGCCTTTTCTTCATAAATGTGCCAGTAGGATTCTTGATAGAGGTATATTCTCTAGTAGCTGATCTTATTCGATAATTACCCTTATACAACAGAAAGGAATCTTTAACAACTCAGACAACCCTAGGGGAATATATTTAATGAGTATTCTTTAGAAGATGTTTTACATTAGTACTTAATTCAAGGATTACGAATTGGGCTGATTATGCGAGTCTCAGATAAGATTCCCGAAACTCAGGCTGGTTTTTGAAAAAATATATTCAACATCAGATCATATGTTTACATTGTAAGCAATAGTCCAAAAATGTCGATTTTAAAGAAGCTTTTGACTACCTTGATCGTTTTAAACTATGGCACTGTTTAAGAACTATTGGTCTACAGGGGGGATTGTACTCTATATTGAAAGCTAGTATGTATTCAAATATCAAATCATGTGTACGATCAAGTCTTTGAATGGCATTTATGATACAAATAAGGAAGAGAATTTACGGATGTTAAGTCAAGTTCCCCCTTTGTCTTATTACTTTTGGTGTTACATACACATATTCGGTGCTTCATAGCATTAATTCACCTGATGAAGGAGTAAGTAAATACCCCGAAACGCTGTGTTACTCATGATAAAGAAGTTACCATTCATAGATTCTTTTCCAAATATGTACGATGTCTTTGACTGTTCTGTTGGCTTACGACAAGGATGTATCTTGAGCCCTCAAGCTCTGTTGCTCTGTTATTTTATTAGTGAACTGTATTATTACATTTTGGCTAATGGTTATCGTGATATTCAAATGTTCCCAGATGTAAAAGACCATCTGACGCTTCTTTTTGCCGATGACGTCCTTTTTTAGTATCAGATTCTGTTGTTGTACTACAAAAACAACATAATATTTTACACCAACGAGTGGAAAATATGAGATAGTTACGAGAAAAGTAATATTGACATTTTCAGAAGGGGAGGTCGGCTGGCATTTAATGAAAGATGGTTTATGTGTAACTGTTCTGAATCCATATCACATATGTGGACCCAATTGACCTAGGAACATGAAGAAATGTGTTTCGGATTTAACAAAACGTTCAAAAAAAGCCCTTGATTAATGTAATGTCTGTCCCGAAGAAAGTTGGAGCTTTTACAGCGAATATATATTTTATTTGATGCCCAAATTCAAGCAATCCTGTTATGTGGATCAAAAGTATGGGGATTTCAGCGACACGACTATCTGGAACAGCTACATCTTTTAGCCTGTAAAAAAATCTTATCCGTTGGTCCTTCAACACCAATTTGTACGGTCTATGGCGAGTGTGGCAGATACCCGTTGTATATCAATTCCCAAATCGGATGTTTGAAATACTTATTTACAATCCTTGGAATGTGTGGACGCCAAATTCCGAAACTCGCTTATAATTAACTTGTACATTCAAATGACATGGGTAAAGTTACATGGGCATCACATGTTAGAACCCTTCGTTTTCTCATGGCTACGGCTTTGTATGGTTAAACCAAATAGTTGGTGATGTTAAACGCTTTTTGAAACTATTTCGTAAACAATCTTTAAATATGTTTTACCAAGAATGGTCTTCCACCATAGAAAACAGTTCAAGGTGTGACGTGCATAGAACCTTTAAGACTCCTATTCACCCAGAAAAGTACTTATCTACATTAACATTAAAAACCCTTAGACGTCCATTTATTTAATTTAGACTTCGACAGTTAGATCTCAGGATAAATGAAGGAAGGAAAATGTCAACTGAAACATCGAAGAGATTATACGCATAATGTCATTCGGCTACTGAAAATGAACTTTACTTTCCGTTTGTATGTCCTTATTACTGTCATCTAAGAAACAAGATTATACCAGAACGCTATCTGTCAAATTATCCTGTACCTGCTTTTATTTCTCTCCTCTCTTCTAAAGATGATGCTGTGACATGGAATCTGGCATTATATGTTGAAAATGTAATTTCTCCTAGAAACGATTTCTTAAACATTAAGATGTATATGTAAACCTACTATAATGTAACTCTTACACATCCGGCCTTGATGCAATAAGTATCTTTGAATTTACATTTATATTTTATGATCCCCTACATCTTTTTAAAAGTATAAAGAAATTATTTTCTTGGCCCAGTGTTTGTTATCAGACCAACATGGTTGGCAAGAAGAGACTAACAATTGGGATCCCTAAGGATAAAGTCATGTCTCTTTGTGCGATTTTCAGTCAAGGTATAACGGACAACAATGACAAGCTCCACAGACTTCGTCACGGTCAAGTGAAAGAATACTGGCAACGAACTGAAAACTGGTTTCGTTTAATTGCCTATTGTGTTTATTCAACAACGCTTCCTGACACAGCTTGTAAAACGTATGCCCATTTGTTGTCTTGACGCTCCCTTGTCTGTTAATGGGTGAACGGCGGTGTTTACGACACTCAGTTGCTACAACAGCGTTTACTATTTATAACAGCTTACACGTTACAAGTTGTAAAACCACAAGGGAAATAACGTGTAATTGCCAGTGATATACCCCAAAAGGTCTCTCTGTCCATCAGGCTTTGATTGATTCAAGCTATGTATTCCCAAGCCAAAATGCTATTTGTACGTTGTTCAGTCGTTAATGCTTGTCAATATTGATTCTGGCTTGTTATGTCAAAATGGTAAACACGCACACACACGCACACACACGCACACACACGCACGCACGCACGGACGCACGCACGCACACACGCACGCACACACGCACGCACAAACACACGAACTTAACAAACTTCATTTACGACCGCGAGAAATCGAGAACACGAGATGAGAACGCGATCGATATATGATATCGCTTTCGCGTCTCGTGCTATCTCTTTCTCGTCTCGTGCTATCGCTCTTTCGCCTCGTGCTATCGCTTTTTCTCCTCGTGTTATCGCTTTCTCCTCGCGTGCTATCGCTTTCTCGTCTCATGTTATCGCTTTATCGCTTTCTCACGGCCGTAACTGACGTCGATAATAGATTCTATACGGCGATGAAAAGTATATGGATGGATCACTGAAATCGCGTAAAGGGTAACCATGTCGTTCCCTTCCGGTAGCATCCGCCACTCACACAATTTGCGCACAAAACAAAGCGGTCGTTGCCAGACGTATCACAGCAGTTCTCCTGTCATGATCATGTAACGATCAAGTCGATTTTAACATCCCGGCGTGTCAGTTTAAAGTCCATACCTTCACCACAGAACTTTGATAGAACGTGTATGGTGCTAACAAACCATTGACTACACTCAGTAGGACAGAGGGATTCGAACCAACGACCAGCGCCTGGCATGTGAGTGAGTGAGTGAGTTGGGTTTAACGCCGCTTTTAACAGTATTCCAGTCATATCACGGCGTGTCAGCTTAATGTGGGAGGAAAGCCCGAAGTGATGCAGGTCTCTGACGTTTACCACTTCGGTGAAACCCACGAGCACGGGTATGGTGCTGACAAACCTAGAAACATAATCGGGGCGAACCGGGATTCGAACCCACAATCATAGGTCTCTGGCGTGCCTAAGGGACGCAACTCTGCACAGCGAATTACGGCGCCCTAGACGACTGGGCTACCCGTGCCCCCGCGCCTGGCATGACTTAGAAGATACATCACTGCACAACGAATTGCGGCGCCTTGGGCGACGTTGCCTGCCATGTACCCACCCCATCCCCATAATACATGGAGGAAATAAAAATTTAAAAAAACTTAATGAAAAAGTCCGAGTCTACATGTAATTAAACGGACTTATTTGGTTACTGACTTTAAGTTCCCTTTATTTTTGCGGTGATCAAAAAGTGTCATCTTTTGTATGGTTTTACGTTGCTTTTGGTAATATACACCTGGAAACAGATATTGCAACACCCATATGCTTCATCGTACTTCCATATTACCATCCACTATATCAAATATGCGCATTCTAGTGACAATATACTGCACCATCTGCATCAATTGAAATTAATGGAGTAAATGAAGGGCAAAGACGAACACGGAAGATCTCTTTCCATACGTTTATGTGAAGGGCAGAAGAGAAAAGACCTTTTTTAACACTCAGGCCGGGATACTCGTAGGCCATGGGCTACTTAGGTCCACCGTGCACCCCCCCCCCCCCCCCCCCCCCTCTCCCCCTCCCCCTCCCCCCCTCCCAACAAAACCTACTTTTTCTGAAGCCTTAGTATGTCCTGAACATGAAATCATATGTTAACATTGAAAATACAGGGATGCACTTCCTGTTTTCATCATATTTGTGGAGGTACCCTCAAAATCGCGATTTTGCAATCCGCGTCGAGTGTCATTTTTGTACTTCAACAAAGAGGTCAATAAATGTCTTTACAATTGTCCAATCTCTATGTGTTATATATCAAAATAAAGCTGAACTTATTCCGGTTACAATTATGTTATTTTCATTTAAATATAATGAGAAGTATAGTGGCTATTAAACTTTTACTTAGTAGAACACACATATGCAAATTTGCTCCACGCAGATCGCTCAAACTTTCCATAATTTTCTATTATATGGAAAAATAAATACGAGGTAATCACAAAAACAAAACACAGGCTATAATCTAGATATATATAACTTTATCTTGAAAACAAATAATTTGAATAAACATTATAATTGGACACATGAGAATTCAAACTATACATCATGGTACAATCCATAGAATTACCATTTACATTATAGATTTCTTTTCACTTAGAATAGCTTTTGTAAATGAGGTACAAACAGTATATGCATGAGATGGTGGAGTGATTTACATGGAAGATTTCATAATGACATTACAGAATGTACAAAGTGTTTTACAACACTTATTTTTTTTAAATAATAAAAGGTTCTTTAAATTTAACCATATTTGGGTTTTAGCATATGAAATTGGAACATATATTTTCCGTTGGTGTTTTTTGAAAAGGACAACAAAAAATTTAATGGAATTCATCACCAACGTCGCTAATGTCGCAGAGTTTACACGTTCGTTCATTGGCAGGGATTTCGTGCCACCTACCTAGATCAATAGGTAAATGGTGGCTTGAGGCTGTAAACAATAGGCATTTTACAGCCAAAAAGAAAGGGATTTAAGCCGACTTCGCACCATTTTGTCAGACAGAAGACTCGTTTTCATTCGACGCTTGAACTGAATGGATGACGTCTGGTACGTCTCGGAAAGACCTTCACCCTGTTGAGTTGTCACAAGGGGTCGCCCTCAACGCTGACAGTCTTGACGTCATACGTTTGCTGGTGTTTCCTGACCAATCGGCTAGTGGTGGATGGACGATGACCGACATCTCATGCAATATATCTCGGAGAGACATACCGGCATTCAGCATTTCTAATAATTTGCCATCTTTCTTCTAAAGTCAGTTGCTATGTCCCCCACAGCGAATTATTGAGACAGAAATCAATTTATTTTTCAACATCAAACTGTATTGCCTTGCTGCATCCTACCACAATGGCACGCGCAGGCCTAAACATAATGTATGGTGTACAGAAAAGGACAAAATTTTCTTTCAAACAGATTACAGTTTGTTTGTTGTTTAACGCCGCCATCAGCAATAGACCAGCTATATGGCGGCGGGCTGTAAAGAATCGAGTCTGAATCAGATTGACATCATGGGCATTGATCCATCCAGTTGGGATACGATGACATGCATCATCCAAGTCAGCGAGCAAACAGATTAAAAATATATCAGTATCAACGTGCGAATGAGGGTCAAAATATATGGGCGCTGTGATACTTATTTCAATGTTTATATTTCAGCAATATCACGGGGTGACTCAAGAAATGGTCTTCACAAATTGAACCAATATTCATATGGAGAATCGAACCCGACCATTCGGCTCGACGAGCAAACACTTTAATCTGTAGGCTATCCCACCGCCCTTGAACTTAAAGGGCAAGTTCACACGGAAATGAACCTATTTTTCTTGTACTTTTTCCACATTAAAAGTGTTAACCTAGAAGTGTCATAGACAAAAATATAAAAATATCACTAATAATTGACATATTTTTTGCATTAAAATGATTTATATTTTTCACATTTACCAAGTGTTCTATTTCCATAACAAAAACACCATGGCTTATGCCCCTTACAATATGACGTCATTGGTGCCAGTTGATAAACATTATGACGTCATCATGCTTTTTAGAGCCGCTTCACGTGGTGTAGGTACAGGTGTGGGATTCTTGCGTCTCAGATGCCAGCCAGCATAGTGTTATGCTGAGTCACCACTGCGCCGGAGTGTGTCGTAGGCCATGTTGTTTTACCACTAAAAGGTACTTGATATCTTTTGCGTTGAGAATAGACAGGGACCCAGTTGAATTGGCACCAATTACGTCATAATCTAAGGGGGATAACTCAGGCCTGTTTAGCTCGAAAAACGAAGGCCTCATAACGGCATATCATTTTCACACAATTGTGAGCTTCCTACTCTCACTGTGAAAAAAATGAGTGTATATTTTCAAACACAGATACTAACTAATTCTAAAATTGCGTTTTGTTTAGAAAAAGATAGAAAATGATTTTTGTGTGTACACATCCCCTCTAAGACAAAAAAAATGCAGGAACAGTGGGCCTAGTGTAAATAGTACACCGAAGTTTAAACTTCCGAAATCTTACTCATATGTGTAAGGTAATGTTGGTGTTTGCGAAAACTGCATAAACCATTGTCAACTTCATACCTTCTCTACTATAACGTCAGTAGTCAACAGACCAGGGTTGTTGTTGTTGTTGGTTTGTTGTTTAACGCCGCACTCAGCAATATTCAATCTATAAGACGGCTGTCTGTAAATAATCGAGTCTTGACCAGACAATCCAGTGATTGATATCATGAGCATCGATCCACGGAATTTGGATCGATGACATGCATTAACCAAGTCAGCGAGCCTGACCACCCGATCCCGTAAGTCGCCTTTTACGACAAGCATGGGTTGCTGAAGACCTATTCTACCCCGGATCTTCACGGGTCTCTTAAAATTTAGATTGCTATAAAAAAAACCTTATTGATTCTGATTTCGCATCAGGCAAAAAATTCATATCACAATTTTGTTCCAGCCAGGATAGCTGGATAGGCCTACATGGCATCGCCTCCCTGTCGTCATTCGGGTACAGCTGGGCTGGGGGCTGTACTCCTCACAACGGAGACGGGACGTCCTGGGATGACTGGTTCAACGGGGAACCACTCAACCAACAGTCTAACAAGTGCGTCAAGATTGTCAAGAGTGGTGCTGGATTTGCCTGGAGGTCAGAGTCATGCAGTCAAAAGAAAATGCTATTCTGCGAGTCTGTAGGAGGTAAAATTAATTAAAATAAATGAGTTAGTGAGTGAGTGAGTTGGGTTTAACGCCGCTTTTAACAGTATTCAAGTTATATCACGTCGTGTCAGCTGAATATGGGAGGAAAGCCCGAAGTGATGCAGGTCTCAGACGTTTACCACTTCAGTGAAACCCAAGAGAACGGGTATGGTGCTGACAAACCTAAAAACATAATCGGGGTTACCCGGGATTCGAAGCCATAATCATAGGTTTTTGGCGTGCCCAAGGGACGCAACTCTGCACAGCGAATCGCGGCGCCTTAGAGGACTGGGCCTTCCTTGCCCCCATTAAATAAATGACAGAGCCGCGATTTACAACACATCCCCCAAAATGTACGACGTATATTGCATGAAACGTCCATGTGGCCGTTCCACAAAGCGATCATAGAGCTACGATTGTCGTAAGTCTATGTTAAAGTATGGGAGTTACGACTGCGTTAGTCCTCAGATAGCTTTGTGGAACGGGGCCCCGGTGTGTTACCGAGTGTCGGTCATACGTGCATATGCATAACCTTTAACAACATACGCATTGCAAAATGAACATATCTTTTTAAGTTTCACAAAGACAGTAATGTGCTTCAGTGTGACTGGATGTCTGGTCCATCATTCGTTTGTCTGGTTTGTTTACATGAATACTGCTGTGCGCTGTCGGGTGACCAACACTTACCTTGTTATGTCATTAGTGTGGTGGCGGGTAAGAACGGTAGGCAGGACATGCTTACCCTTTTCGCAGACACCTATTATCACCACTGATTTTCAGTGATCCATTAATATACGTTTCACTGCTATTTGGCCTTTACGTCCAATGGAAACTGTTTCGTGGGTAAACCGAGACGGGTTCTATCTAACGTTGACGTTATATATAAACTATTTAACGTTGTCAGCAGAAAGTGCACAATGCGGTGCGCACTTGTACAGGCTCTGAAGATATCTGAGGTGAGGTGAGGTGAGGTGAGGTGAGGTGAGGTGAGGTGAGGTGAGGTTGGGTGGGGTGAGGTGAGGTGAGGAATCTGAGGTGAGGTATCTGAGGTGAGGTGAGGTGAGGTGAATGAAATGGTGTGAAATGGGGTTTAACGTCACGTCCAAGATTATTACAATTATACAGCGACGTGCAAATGTGTATGTGTGGCTGCTTGTACTGATGTCGATTTAAAGTGCTAGCTCACTGACATACCATGCCACAGTTTAACATGAATACCCCACTCAGACACAGTATACTGACTCCGAGCCAACCAGTCCTTGTTTTAGTCCCTTAATGCCAAGCGCCAGACAGGGCAACAACAAGTACCATCTTTTAACGTCATTTGGTATGACGCCTGATGAACTGACTACACAAAAGTCCGGTATATAAATTGGATATATGTTATTGGAAAAAGTTGGTGGCTTGATATTCGACAAACGGAGCGTCAAAACACAGCCATTGTCGATTTGCAATGTCTTAAACGGCATTGTTTTCACACTCGTTCAAATAGGTCATGGAGGGAAACAGTCAAGAAAAATGCACGTGCAAGTTATGGCATTCGTAACTCGTGGTAGTGGCTATAAAAAGGCAAGTATAAGCCAATAATTTGTCATTCAATTGTCAACATTTTCAAGTTCGAAAATGCAAAGATTCAGCGCTGCCGATCGGAACATCGCCATAGGACCTATCCAAAGAGGGGAATCGCAGTATTCTGTTGCACGGTACCATTTGCCTTTGGGACCGATACACACAGTTCAATTCCACTGCAGACCGTCCGAGAACCGGCCGACCAAGAGTTACCACTCCTGCACAGGATCGCTACATTCGACTGTTCTAACTACGTCATCACAATGCCACAGCTACGGAGACTGCAGGACGCATCCCTGGTCCTCGGACCAGCCTGTCAGGAACCATCTTCGCGAGGCTAGAATCCGACCCAGAAGACCAGTTATCGTCCCTGTTTTGCAACATATCAATCGACAGCGACGCTTGCGTTGGAGCCATAGGTTACAGCCTTGGAATTTGAGAAACTGGTGATGACTGTGGTTCAGCGATAATTCACGATTTCATCTTCACCGGCGAGATGGAAGACAACATGTTTATCCTACACTACGAGATCTGACTTGGTTGTGGGCCAGGACAGCAAATCTCTACATTAATCAAATTCTTCAAGCTCACCTTCTTCCAATCACTGACCGCCAGAGGGAGCTGTTTCAACAGGACAACGCTCCACCGCACAAAGCTCATGTCACGGTAGACTACCTTCATAATGCCAACGTCAACGCCTTGCCCTGGCCGTCGACATCTCCAGATCTCAACCCAATCGAGCACCTCTGGGATGAACTCGGTGTGTGTGTGTGTGTGTGTGTGTGTGTGTGTGTGTGTGTGTGTGTGTGTGTGTGTGTGTGTGTGTGTGTGTGTGTGTGTGTGTGTGTGTGTGTGTGTGTGTGTGTGTGTGTGTGTGCCCCTTATTCCCCCATAGGAGAGTTACAGACATATACATACAGCATTTACAAGTGTACGAAAACAGGCATTCTTATGTTGAGTCTATCCCTGCTCACATGTCAGAACATAATGTTTCTTCACAAGGTCAATATATTTCTTAAATTGGAAGAGACCTTTGACTGCAGCTTTTGCAAAGTTCTCAACAGTCTCAGAAAACCATTAACTGAATTTGCCGTCACTTCATGTAACAATGTTGAAAGTGAGAGGTAAGTCATGCATCGCTTAGCTTGTTTGTAAGCCAGGTTTGAGTGCGCATACATATTTGAGAGTTAAGATCTAAATGTAGAATTAAAACAGATCTCATTAAAATCAGATCTTAGTTCTCGCTATCTCTAAACAAAGATCTTAGGACATCCCATTACGGGTCACATCATAACGACCTTTCATCCGACCAATCAAAGCGTCGCTTACCAGATCATGAAAGAGACAGTCGGAATGTGTCTTCTAATCATGCAACCTCGAAACTGTTAACACGGGATAATCCGAACGACAGTTACGGCCAGTACGACTGATTCCGTCACAATGATCGTCTGTCTCTCGCTGCCGTGGGATAAATGATTTGAACGGATGAGGCGTTGCAAAGTACGTGGGAAGCACTACCATACAATCGCAACCATATATTAGACATTCCGGATTGTTCGTTTGTTCAGTTTTCAAAATTTTAATCGAGAACTGTGTCAACATATTTTTCAAGCGTAGTCTGAAATGGAAGTCGCCAGGTTGAAACGAGTGCCGTAAAGCTCGAGAAAGCTTCTTTCCAATTGGCTGATGTCGACTTCTTGTTAGTCATTTCAGTGGTCGGTCAGAGTTCGCGAAAGGTCGTTCTGACGTGACCCGCAATGGGATGTACTAAGATCTTTGTTTAGCGGTAGCGAGAACTTAGATCTGATTTTAATGAGATTGAATTAAAACCAACAAATTAATGCCAAATGCAGGCGTTTCAGTGATGTTCCCTTGTTCGTGGTCTGTATATAAGATTCCGAACGGTAATTAAAGTATATATTTGGCTTTCATTTCCACAGGAGCTTGCAGATTTCATCAACAAACTAAGAGTGCGGATATAAACTTGCTAGTGACCATCTCCATATCAGGGATATCGAGCGCCGCTCAGTGTAAGAATGACTGTTTGACCTACACAGGAGGATCCGGGGAGTGTTGGGGCGTATCTTACGGTTCGACGTGCACTTTCTACATAGCCAGCAGCCCTGTTCAACTGCTCAGCCCGGCCCCTGCGTCAACTTTCTACGCCAAGCAATGTTTTATTGGTGGGTTAACAAACATAAACACACTTTTAGTGACAGCTTACGTTTGTTTTGTTTTGTTTGTTTGTTGTTTAACGCCGCACTCGGCAATATTCCAGCTATATGACGGCGGTCTGTAAATAATCGAATCTGGACCAGACAATCCAGTGGTTGACATCATGAGCATCGCTCCACGCAATTGGGATACAATGACATGCATCAACCAGGTCATCGAGCCTGACCACCCAATCCCGTTAGTCGCCTATTACGATAAGCATAGTCACCTTTTACGACAAGCATGGGTTGCTGAATACCTATTCTACACCACATCTTCACGGGTCGAAGCTTATGACAGTTGGTCTTTTCATATGTTCTTGCAGAGTGTGACCAGCCAATTTTTATTTTCAAAGGCAGTTTTAGGAAATAGTTCATACGGGCTTCTTCAGCCAAAGCTAACATTTCGTTTGAAGGTTTCGGATTCATATGACTATCTTATCAACGAGCTTATCCAAATACCGCTGGGTAACCAGAGGTATATTTTGAACTAGTTCATCTGACTAAGTGTGGGTCAGAACCGAAGCCCAAGAAGCTTGCCTAGTGCGGTTATCAGTCTACCCACTCTCCACTACAAATGCTGGTCAGGATAGGCGTACAGGTGGGGCAGGATGCGATGCACTTTTCGCGAACACCTGGTATCATCACCATTGTACAGTGATTCAAATACACATGTACTGGTAGTCGTCATCGTGCAGTGGGTTCTATTTCTTGTGAGAATGGAAAGGGTTTGTCGCTTTTATTAACGTCATCGGATTTGGCAACTGTTCTGTGCATAAGACCACGTGTCACCGCGGTATTCTCCAACCCACAGACCTTCGAAACAAATCCAAAGTTCATATACAGTAAACTACGGTTACAAAGAACTCAAGGGGACCACTAATTCTAGTTCGTTATAACCGTAGTTCCTTATAAGCATATCTAGAGTTTTATGTGATAATATATACAGCAAAGAGCCGGGTCCAAAAACAGTTCGTTATACCTGTCAGTTCGTCATAAGCGTGTTCGTTACAAACGTAATTTACTGTACATGTATTTCACATCCAAAGTTCATATATATATATATATATATTCTTATAGAAGCGCAGTTAAATGATAAAATAACAATAATTATTCTGAGATAGAATGGTTAGTTTGCCCTATTACATATTTGTTTAGACAGAGGAGTAGGGAAAAAATTTCAGATCATCATGATCAGCCTTCTTCTTGACAATAATATTATTTATAGCTTTTACTTTGCTCTCATGTTGAATTGAAGTTTAGTATAGGTTCTTCCTCATTGTGAAGGGGCGGTCGGGTAGCTTAGTGGTTAATCCTTCGCTCGTCACGCCGAAGACCGGGGTTCGATTCCCGACGTGGGTACAATGTGTGAAGCCCATTTCTGGTGACCCCCGCCGTGATATTGCTGGAATATTGCTAAAAGCGGCGTAAAACCATACTCACTCACTCGTTTTTGGGGAGATGGGTATCCAGTGGCGTGATGCGGCACTGTACCGTGTCCCGTTTGGGATCAAGGTTGATGCATATCATCGTATCCCAATTGTCGATGCTCATGATGTCAGTCATTTGAGTCCAGACTCGATTATTTACAGACCGCTGTCATATAGCTAGAATATTGATGAGTGCGTCTTTAAACAAACTCGCAAGCAAAACAAAGCTTATCATCGAACCCTGACGGTGTCGGGTGTCGCTCATGTTATCGATCACTGTTTTTTTTGTCAGCTTCGATTATTTACAGGCTGCTGTCAGATAGCTGGAATATTGCTGAATGCTGAAATATAATGATCACCCTGATTACGATTACGGTTTGTCTGTCCTAAATGGTAAAAAGGCTACGACACTCATTTGCGTCTCAAAGTCTCCATGGTCTAGTGGTAGATCGTCCTCCCGGAAAGCTGAAGGTCCGTGGTTGCGAAAAGACGTTAAAAATGGTACTTGTTCCTACCCTGCCTTGCGCTCGACAGGAAGAGGCTAAAACAAGGACTGGTTGGCTCGGAGTCAGTATACGGTGTCTGAGTGGGGTATTTATAGTCCGGGCTAGTACAAGCAGCCACACACATACACACACACGGACATGCACGTCGTTATATAAGTGCAATAATCTTGGACGCGACGTTAAACCCCATTTCACCTCACCTCGCCTCACCTCACCTCACCTCACCTCGCCTCGCCTCGCCTCACATTTTCGTCTCTTTTTGCTTTCACTGTTAGCACCTATTCTATGAACGAAATATTGTCCATAGCGGCGTTACATCGAACGCACTCATTCCAATGTTGTTGTCTGCAGAATGTGTTATCCGATATAGAATATCCAACGAACGGTTTATATATCTTCGATTCCAGGTGATTATGATGGCACAGATGACCAGAACAGTCCAGACACCAGCTCCAACCCCGATACTGGGTGCATTCTAGGTCAAGGTAAGGAACACTCTGCTTAAATTGGTTTTGGTTTGGTTTGTTACGCCGCACTCGGCAATATTCCCGCTACATGTATATGACGGCGGTCTGTAAATAATCGAATCTGGACCAGACAATCCAGTGATTGATATCATGAGCATCCATCCACGCAATTGGGATCGATGACATGCATCAACCAAGTCAGCGATCCTGACCACCCGATCCCGTTAGTCGCCTTTTACGGCAAGCATGGGTTGCTGAAGACCTATTCTAACCCGGAATCTTCACGGGTCGCTGAAATTGGTAGCAGCTCGGATCGTCTAATTCATTAGTGTTTAGGGGGCGGTCGGGTAGCCTAGTGGTTAAAGCGTTCGCTCGTCACGCCGAAGACCCGGGTTCGATTCCCGACATGGGTACAATGTGTGAAGCCCATTTCTGGTGTCCCCCGCCGTGATATTGCTGGAATATTGCTAAAAGCGGCGTAAAACCATACTCAGTCAGTCTGTCATTAGTGTTTATCGCGATTCTCATTTGTATAACACATGGAAAGAATGAATTGATACTTCTTTATGACGTAATACTGAATGAATGTCTCTACTGCAGCTCTGACAACTCCGGCAATGACGACCACTACTTCGACAACTACAACCAGTACAACAACAACTTCTACAACGACCACTACAACTAGTGCAACTACGACTACAACAACGACCCCTACTCCGACAACAAGTAGTACAACTACTTCTCCAACAACGCCCACCACACCGACCACTACAACTAGTGCAACTACTACTTCAACAACGACGAATACTCCTACAACTACAACCAGTGCAACTACAACTACTCCAACAACGACCACCACTCCGACCATTACACCTAGTGCAACTACTTCTACTCCAATAACGACCACAACCCCGATCACTACACCTAGTGCAACTACTGCTACTCCAACAACGTCCACAACCCCGACCACTACACCTAGTGCAACTACTACTACACCCACACTAACAACTACGTCTGCGCCAACAATGGTCACAACTGTGACAACTAATACTCCCACTCATTCAACAGTAACAACAGCGGTGACATCTGTTTTACAAACAACAGCCACAACAACAGCAACTTGGCCAACAGTCAGCCCAACTACACAAGCATGGACATCGTCTACCTTTGGTATGCAATCTTTAACATAAAAAGATCCATGTTGACAGTTTGGATTAAATTCTTTTTGGTTTTCAAGTTGAGATGTAAATAAGGTAGCATCCATTTATCGCTATGGGGAGGGAATAGTTTACTTTCTAGAAAATAACCGTCGTCAAAATGTTAGTGTTAATAGTGAAAATGAATAGATTGTTTGATGGTGCTCAGCAAATAGATAGTTTGTTGGATACAGCAGGGAAAATAGATTCTCATCCCAACCCACCCTTTAACCAGTTTTCCGACCCGTTAAGGTCCGGGGTAGACTAGGTCTTCAGCAACCAACGCTTGCCGTAAAAGGCGACTATGATTGTCGTAAGAGGGATCAGGTGGTCAGGCTCGCTGACTTGGTTGATGCAAGTCCTCCTATCCCAATTGCTTGGATCGATGCTCATGATGTCAACCACAGGATTGTCTGGTCCAGACTCGATTATTCACAGACCGCCGTCATATAGATGGAATATTGCTGAGTGCGGCGTTAAGCAAAAAAACAAACAAAACAAACAAATTTAAGCAGTTATCCAATTATAGCCACCTCATTTAATGTATGAAGACAGCAAAGTTTCAGTGCAGGCAAAACATGATTTCCACCCCTTCCCCCTTTTCAAATTCAATTCAAATGCTCCCGAAACCTTAAATAAATGGCCTCCTTACTTCATACAACATGACAATTGGCCGTCAATATTGAATTCTATTTCTGATCGAGTGTTCTCATACATTTTACTTTATTAATCGTATCTTCGTAAAATAAATCTTCATATAAAATGTTGAAATTTGGTAGGATGTTTAAATATTATATGTTACATATTTTTGTTATAAAAGTAACTTCTTATGGCACCGTCTTTAATTTTGTTAAATCTAAACTTCCCAATGCAGATGCTCTGTAAAGATTACGAAAGACATGTCAGGAAAATAAGCGGTACTATCATTATAGGAATCACTCATTACTTACAAATCGCCCCGTGAAGATCCGGGTTAGAATAAGTCCACAGTAACCCCTGCTTGTCCTCAGAGGTGACATGGGGGATCGGGTGGTCAGACTTTGTGACTTGTTTGATGTATTTCATCGTATCCTAATTGTATAGATCGATGTTCATGATGTCAGTCACTGGATTTACTGCCCCGATTATGTACAAACCGACCTCATGTAAACGGAATATTGTTGCGTATGGCATGAGTAGTATAGTATGTGTACTGCTATTAGAGTCAGGCAACAAGCAGACCCTTTGTGTGAGCGACGGGAGCGACCAGTAGAGCAGGATATGCTTACCTTTTTCGCGATCACACGGTGTCATCTCCCATTTTCAGTGATCCATTCATATAGTTCCCATCACACTTTTGCCTCTTTGTCCCAGTGGAATTGGTTTCGGTAGATATTCGAGACTTGTAAAAAACAATATTCTCTGGCGTGGACGTTTTGAAACCATAAAATGGTTATAGGTATTATACGACCACATCTAACCTTACAATTGTTATTGACCGCCTCCGTGGTCTAGTGGTAGCGCGTCGGCCGGAGAGCGGAAGGTCCGGGGTTCGATCCCCAGCCGCGTCATACCAAAAGACGTTAAAAGATTGTACTTGTTGTTACCCTGTATTGCGCTCGGCATTAAGGGGATAAAACAAGGACTGGTCGGCTCGGTGTCTGAGTGGGGTATTCATGTTAAACTGCAGCATGGTATCTCAGTGGGCTAGCACTATAAATCGGCATCAGTCCGGACTAGTACAAGCAGCCACACACATACACGTGCATGCACGTAGCTATATAAGTGCAATAATCTTGGACGCGACGTTAAACCCCATTTCACCTCACCTCACCTCACCTCACCTCACCTCACCTCACCTCACCTCACCTCACCTACAATTGTTTTGTTTTTCACAGGCGCTTGGAACCAGACGGGATTTGAAATATGTTCCTGCAAGTGCAATTCAACTGACAACAAAACTCTTGAGGAGAAAATTGAAGAAATTATCGCATATTTAATTGTCGACAAAACGAAAACATCCAAGAGTATTCGAAAGAAAATCAGTGCCCCTGACAATAGACCGAGTGCTCAGAATATTGGTTTTCTTGGTATTGCACTTCTTGTTGCAACCGGTGGACTCTTTCTTGTGGCCGATTCGACTTACATTTTTCAACTTATCAAATTTATATGCGGAAAGAAAAGGTGACTTTAGAAATGCATGTGCTTTCGTACACTAAAACACCTTATTGGAAAATGTGTGATATCACCCGTGGCTGCGGTTATATAGCTTATATGGTTGTGATTATGGCACCGGCGATCAAACGTAACGTGCTACAAATAGTGGAACTTGGATTGCCAAGGTTTGTAATGCTGCGATAAACCAATCCAGTAAACGTGGGATCACGGTCCGATACATATGCAAGTGGGGGCATGTAACAAGAGCTTTTCAGATGTTCAATACGTAGATGTGATGCCTAGTTTGGGGCAGTTGTTTGCACTATATAATAAATGAGGCGGTTACTAATACTATTTTAAGAATGACGTGATGGTGGAGAATCCTTGGATGGGTAACTCTTCGCGATCGGCTGCTTGGTTCCTGAGAGTGTCGAGGGCTGCGGTCAACATGTAACACGTGTGGTGTTTGCTTGGGCAATTAATTTTGTTCGAAATATGCCTCTGTTCACCCAGCAGTGAATGATGACTGTTGACCTAGCATCTCGCAGGCAGCTTGGGTTGTATACACTCCCCAGGGGGCTGAGAATGATATTCGAGTGAACTACACTGACTGGAGTGATATTTCGCTTTGAGCATATTCAGCATGTAGAAAGCACCATAAAAATGGCGTATTATTAATAATCTCTAAGATTATTACCCTCGTTTGTTTCCTATCGTATATTAGAAATGAAGAGTACATGTATGTGTTATGTTCAGGCTCGTAAATACAATTCATAATCAAATATACGATATATAACATACGGAAACACAGTTGGCTAATAATCCCTATTTCTGATATTTTCAGTCACAAATATTCTTATTCAAAGTGCCTTTGTGCTATCCGAAGGAAATGTTTCAAAGCCGTTTTTGTCGTCTTGCTTTTCAGTATATTATATTTTGTAAACATATGCAAAAAATGTATTCATTTTTTTGTCACGATCGACTGCATGATTTTCTATTGTATAACTACTTCAATGAAACCTTTGCTCAATAAAGCCGTATGTTTCTATATTTCTGTTTCCTTTCCACTGAATATGTAGACAAACAAGTACAATTATTTTTTACATGATAGTTTCAACAGAACTTGGCACGTGTACTTCCAAAGTACGGTGGGCCTGTCTAAGGGGACGTAACTCTCTGTGCAGAGTGGCAGATGCACGTGAGTTCCGTGCAAATTGAAATGCACATGCGTTCCCCCATTTCTTGCCCTATAAAAATCCACCCAGATCGTTATTGAATTGCTACCACATGCCAAGATTGACAAGAAATCAGCGACACCAAGCTCTTGGACGATTGCAAGCAGGATAAACCGCCCGGCAAATAGCCAATGCATTTCAAGTCCACGTAAGGACCATATACAGGCTCCAGCTACGGTACCAGACCACCAACACTACAGATGACCAAGGCTCACCAACCGACGTCAGGATCGTCAGATTGTGCGACAGCATGTTCATGATCGCTATGTTACTGCTGCGGAAACGGCTCGACATAAGTGCGGACACCGTGCGTCGACGATTGCCGAGCAGACATCTCCACTGTCACACACCGAGGACCAATTTTGACACCACGTCATCGCCGGGACCGTCTTCAGTGGGCAACACAGCACCACCATTGGGGTGGTCCGAGCATCATGGTGTGGGGTGGAATTGGTCTTGCACAGAGGGTCGGCCCTGTGGTCTTCAGCATGATAACGCCCGTGCCCACACTGCGAGAGAAACAAGAGACTTCCTCCAGCAGAATGGCATCAGAACCATGCAGTGGCCTGCTTACTTACTTACGTGTGCTTTCCGACATATGCGTATTTCGCGCACGGGTCCGCCAGGCCATTTGGTGTTTGGATGAAAAGGGTATGTCCGAAAAGGTGAGGCAACCTAGGTGGGGCTTTTTAGGGTTGCTTACTTAATTTGGAGAACAAATTTTAAATTTTGAATTATGCTATACAAAGGGTGGAGGTGGGGGTGGAGACTAAAAGGAGTTTGTGTGTTTTTAAAGGTTTAGAATTATTGGGTTTATTGGCAGCTTGTTTGTTGTACTTTTATTTTTAAATGCGGCCACGTAGGCGTGTTTTGATTAGATATATAGTGGCCTGCCCTCAGTCCCGGTTTAAATCCTAATGAGCACCTGTGGGACGAGATTCAAAGACGGGTGAATGACGTCCGACCAAGGCCGACAACTGCAGCTGAACTGCGTCAGGCGTTCCTCAGAGTGTGGGCTCAAGTGCCTATGGCCTTTATCAACCGCCTCATCCATTCCATGTATCTACGTTGCACGCCAGTCATCAATGCACATGGCGGACACACGAGATATTGACTTGTGATGCCATTTTCTCAGAGACTAGTGTAGTGTGTCACTTTAAGAACATTTGACACTTTAATTTCAACCTTGATGATCAGTTTTGCCCAGTTTCATCTTTGTAATATGTCTCAAAGTATGTTTACAGTGTTTGGACAAATAAGGTTTCTCATATATCTATCCATGGTGACGTTTCTTTTGCGGTTCAGTATATATGAACATATAAACATATTGTTTTCATCACCCAAAATTGGAAGGAAGGATGATACAGCTTGAAATTGCATCTGTTCTATATTGTACTGTGACGTCATACCGTTTGTATCACAAAAAACAGTACGATGTTCTAAAACAATACCATACGAGGTTTGTTTCATTGTTTATTGCGTTGTCCATTTGATTGATCACGAAACTTCTGTACTTCACCTTTTCAATGCCCGTCATGTATTGTGGTGCAAAAATCGGTGATATGGAGTCAGACCCTTGTATCACGAACCTGATCATGTTGTA